AGTTAGAGGATTTAGTCCGGAGTTTTTTTCCTGTAAGTTCAGGAAAAGTGTCAAACGATCAGCTGATTTGCATGTGCAAACAAAAACCGAAAGCGGTGAAAGCAGAGAACCTTATATTTGTAAAAAAAAAATGGAAGTAAACAAAGAAATGATTGAATATGTATAGATTTCAATAATTATTTAGTGATATTACAGCGAAATCAGTTTTGTTCCAATGACATGTAAACAAACCGACTGACGTTTTTACAGGAAATAGTTAGTCTGTTCCAATAGCAGTCCGGTTTACAGGATTTAGTCAGAACTTACAGGAAGTCGTTCCTATTGACATAAAACCTGTAAGTGGGAAAACATTTGAGAGAGTAACTGAGCAACTGTTCCTAGTCAGAAGTTACAGGATTTAGTCCGGAGATTTTTTTCCTGTAAGTTCATGAAAAGTGTCAAACGATCAGCTGATTTACATGTGCAAACAAAAACAGAAAGCGGTGAAAGCAAAGAACCTTATATTTGTTATAAAATGGAAGTAAACAACGAAATATTTAAATATGTATAGATTTTATTAATTTAGTGATATTTCAGCCAAATCAGTGTAGTGCCAATGACATGTAAACAAACCGTCTGACGTTTTTACAGGAAATAGTGCTCTTTGCGTTCCTATGCACTTCTGCATCTGTTCTCCTTTTACTCTCATTTGAGAGCGTAAAATTGTAGTTTGACAGTTCCACAGGTTTTAGTCCGAAGTTCAAAGGAACAGACTAACTGCCATCCCTAAATTAGCGTGTCAAGCGCCAAACAACTGTCAAAAATCCTCATGCCCATACAATTTGTATGAAGCATCCCACAATAACGCGGCGCTAACGCCGAGCAAATGGAATTTTCATTTTTGACAGGGCGTTACGTGTTGAAGTTGGATGCGGAAGACGGAAAGAAAGAGAAAGGACAAATAAGTGAAAGAGGAAACGAGAACAAAAACGAGAGGATCTGAGAAAACGTCAAAAATTACGACGCGTTGATTTGGGGATAGCGCGCGCTGACACTCGTCGACAATGGATAACGCAACGCTTAGCGCTCCAATTTAGGGACGGCAGTAAGTGCTTTTTGCGTTCCCGTGCACTTCTGCATCTGTTCTCCTTTTACTCTCACTTGAGAGAGTAAAATTGTAGTTTGACAGTTCCACACATGATTCAACAACTACAGGTTGTAGCAATCGTACAAAAACAACATTTATCGTTGGTATGAACTCCTTGTGTCATCAACATCTTTATCTATTCATATTCGTATGTATATGTATACCCTGCATACCATAACATTTCATAGAATACTGAAAGGTTTCACAATTTTTTTAAGAATTTTCTTTAAGAAATCATACAGACATTTTTTTACTAGTTCTTGTCAACCGCTTCTTATGTTTTTCTTTACAGATTTCTAAAAGAATCGTAACAAATTTCCGACACTTAAAGATTTCGGGAGCATTTGTTTGCAGGGTATATATGTATATACGTATATGTGTATGTATACGCGGATATGTAAATAAAGCAAAATAGACGATAATTTGACACAAGCGTGCTCATAAGAAGAAGCATAGCTTCTATCGCTATCACCTGTAATTGATGCGCCTTGGTTCCACAGGTTTTAGTCCGAAGTTCAAAGGAACAGACTAATTAATAATACAATTTTCTGAGACGCCTTTTACGTTTTCTAAAAGTAACGGCCCTAAGAAGGTCTGATGTGCATTTCTATTAACATAAATATCACTCATTTACTTCAATAGTATCATAACTCAAAAAAGCTAAACTCGAGAAAAACGGCTTTAAAGTTTTGAATTTACATATAATCTTACAGTAAAAAATTAATACATATTAATTGTTAATGAGTTGCTTTATTAGCAACTGCATTTTTGTGGTTGCCGTGGAAATTTTGATTGAGATAATTTATTTATTTTTTCAACTGTTTCTTCAGCTTATTTACACCCAAGTCTTAGTTGGTGGTTCTTCAAATTTTTTTTTACCTTCAACGTTATAGAACTTGACTATAGATGCTATTCATAATATACATTTTCCTTTCAGTGGCGTTGGCCATCGGCAATCCAACTGCGGTTGCGTTGCCATCCATAATCGACCCATTAGTCTGTTCCAATAGCAGTCCGGTTTACAGGATTTAGTCAGAACTAGGGCATTCAATCCCGAAGCATTTTAACAATCCCGGGATTTCGGTGCTCAAAAATTCTAATCCCGGGATCCCGAGATTTTATGGTATTTCAACTTCACACCTTTTGCATTTTACAGTATGTTCGCCTTTTTTTATTCTAAAATATCTATATTGTCAAGAACATGTACCCATATTTGCAGAAACCCTTTTCCAAAAAAGGCCAACAAAGTAAAATGAAGAACAACTCTGCCACACTGTAAAAGCTTGTTGTGTTTTGAACTACTACCAGATTTTTCGTTATTACATAGTTCCTGCACAAAATATTTGAACAAGTACTTTTATTCAGGCAATGCCTGAAATTCACTTTCAAGTGCAAATTGCTCAAGTTCCTTAAAAGACAGAAGAACACTCTTGGCGATATCTTTTATATCTGACATTGCTACAGGCAGGATTGATTGCCCGTCTCTGCTTGAGAGATTGCACTTCAACGTCCGAGGTAGTACTAAAGCTCCTATTAATAGAACTCTAGCTGAGTTTAAGATTAAACGCACGATCTGGCTGGTTTAAACTAAAATCAGCCAATCAAATGTCAGCCAATTTAAACTCAGTGGCCCGTAGTCATAGTCAAAATAAAGTCGACTTTAAAGTTAGTTGCAGCTTTTTGACATAATTTTCAATGGGATATCTGTCAAAAAAGCTGCAACTAACTTTAAAGTCGCGTTTATTTTGACTATGACTACGGGCCAGTTTACTTAATCTAAGTTTAAACTGGCATTGAAAAACGGGCCCTTAGTAAAAAAAAGGCGAAAAGTCGTCGAGCGATAGCTGATTCTAGTCAACACGAGGCGACTAAAGCCGATTCCAAAAGGTCGAGTTTTTTCAGTGAAAAGTCGATTTTTGACTAAAGTTAGAATCGACTTTTCCATCCCTAGTTCGCATCCCTATTTATCTTTGAAGTCTAGTTTGCTTTGTGAGTTGTGAAAATTAAATTGAAGGAAAAATGGGAAGGTGTGCTATCTGCCATAAAAGAAGGGAACGCGGAACGGGACCGTTTTTTCGGGTTCCAGCCGAGGAGTCTCAACGATTGCTTTGGGGAAAAAATTGCGGGGTACATTTTAAAGAAAAGGACAGTGTTTGTGTGGATCATTTTTCGCGTTCGGATATGATAGGCGGTGGGAAGAGATCGCAGTTGTTGCCAAAAGCCGTACCATTTCCCCCATCGGAATGTCACAACGCTACAGCAACAACAACAACAACCAACTCTAACTGGACGCCATCTGATCATGGTAACTTATTTACGGATTCATATTATGCCCAGTTGGAGTAAGTTTTAGAATTATTACTTTTATGAACTTGAAATATCAATTTTTAATACAGGTCGGATATTGGTACTTCTGATTCCCAAGCCCCAGAAATACTGGATTCACCAATTTTCTCACAGGCAAGGTAACTGAGAACTCGTAATTTTTAACATAAATGAATTGTTTTTAAACACGTATAAAATGTATTAATTATAAAATTTATAACATGTAAATATTTTTTTAATTCAATTAGCCCATCCTCTTTTTTAACTAATGGAACAGAAAAGATCGTCAAAAATTGTCAAATGTTAATAGAGTGAGTGCGTATTGAATACTGAAGTCCATTCATTGTAAAATTTAAAAATCGTATGTATTTATTTCTTTGATATAAATAGTTCATACGTTTCTTTAACTGCTGCAACTAAGAAACCCGCCAAAGATTGCCAAACGCAAACAGAGTAAGTAAGAGATTGGTTTTGGGCGTTGCATTTTTATTTTGTTGCTTTCACAACTACCTACATACATACTTTCAGACCTATTATTATGGAGGCCCTCATGGGGAGGGATGTCTACGAAC